AATTGGTTTGATAAAAATAAAAATAATAAAATCAAATAAAATAAGAGAAGTCCAGTTTTCAGTTCAGTTATCACCCAATCCAAATCTACCGCTAATTAATCTCGACGTTTTTTTTTTAAATTGTTAATGAATTGCCGACCCTAGCTAACAACAAGCTCTGTTAACCGAATTTTCCCTTACCGATTATTTAATCGAAATAAGCTCTTCGACTAAACCTAACTAGTGGACAACCTAGAATAAGTTATCTAGATTTAGTACACTAGCAACATTAATCTCTAGGAAAATAGATCAGTCTAAGCAATGGACGCACAAGCTCGGACCATTTAACTTATGTTCACGCTACCTTAGAGATGCACGACCCGTAGTTTACTACTAACGAAATGAGACAATAACAATTACGGATTAAAGCCTCGAATCTAGCAGTTAAACTATGAACATTCAACGTAACTGGCCAAACTAAATCAAACATCATAATTCATAAACATTAAACATAGATAACATGAATCAACACATCAACAAAATAAATACGGTGTCTCAATTAACCAACGATAAAAATAAATTCTTCATTCATAGACAAATTAAAGTTAAAGTTCAAATATCCCCTAAAACTGGATAGAAAAAAAAACTAGCCTAACATATAAATAATAAATAAATAAAAGCTAGATAAAAGAGAGAAGATAAAACTATCTCCCTCGTGTGCGGGTGCGGCTTCCACGCGGGATCTTCTCTCTCGCTCTCTACGTGTGTGGCTCTGTACCAGTTTTTCTTCCTTTTCTGCTCTGTCAGCGTTAATTAATTCCCGTATGGCGTGCTCTCAACAAAATAAATTACCCGATATAAATCCCAAGACTCCTCTCTAACTTTTGCTGTGTGGCGTGGCCTTATTGGTCTTCTCCAATTTTTAATTCCCTAGGACTCCAAAAAATGTTTGGCTGCGTGTGTTAATTAACTCCCAACCAATAAATTAACTTCCCACATTTTAACATGAGCTGCATAATTGTACATCTCAATTCCTTAGCAAACAAATTCCTTACAGCCATTTAAATTTGTTCCAGCCCAAATGATATTGAACTCCCAACATTAATTGACTTGGGCCTTCTTTAGCCTGGTATTGCTGCGTCTCGAGATCAAAGTGAACTTTCGTCTAATGGTTCGTGTCCATAAAATACTCTAATGAGCTGAAAATAAATACAAAAATATTAATGTGTATGTATCCATCCAAATAATAAATAAGTCGAAAAATATAAATGTGCGAATAAATTAAGCGTATAAAAATACACCTATTAAACATATAAAACATGCACAATTTTTCGACCTATCAAAAAACAGCTAACCTAAATACCTAATAAGCTAATCTATACTCTCTTCAACCCCAACCTAAACACCAAACAACCTATAACAAACTATATAAATGGAGCATGCATGGAGAAACGGTAAATAAAATCGCAAAAAAATAAAAAATAAAAATAAACTAAGTAAATAACAAACACTAAATCAGCAAACAATGGCCTTCACCGGGACCTTCCCGGCTGCCGCCACCTCACTCGCCCTCGTGCTCCTTCTATTCACGTCGTCATTGCTGACATCAACACACGCCGCTCTCATCGTAGACCCTAACATCAACAAGGGGTTCACCGTTGGCGGCCAGCTATGCTGCACGCGAGACAGCAACTGCCCAAAGGACCCAGTGGGCCTTGATTGGGCCCGCAAGATGAATGGTGGGCTCGTCAAGCTCAAGTGCAAGAACACCTATGGAGAACTGTTCCAAGGGCCCAATTACCAAGGGTACCAGTGTTGGATCCTTAATCCAACATTGGGCTAATATGTGAAATAATTATTGTATTGTGGTTGTCAAATAAAGAAGCCCAAATATAAGTGATCAATTAAGGTTTAAAGTTATTGGGCTTTAAAGTATCAATAGGGTGTGGGCCTTTAATGTGTAGAAACTAATGGGTCTTCTATTTTAATGATGGGCTAAAATAGAGATGCCCAATGTAACTTAATGTACATAAAAGGGTTGTGGTCCCTAGGTCATACGACATCGACAGATTATCTCTTCTGCATCCCATCGACAGAGAGGTTACGGAGAAAAGCTAAAGGGTTCTCTGAAAGGTACACGATCGTATAGACCTAGAAGGCCAAATCCCCAAATCAATCACCTATGGATTCAGGTACGCTTCCGCTATTCAGTTTTGATTCTCAATTATTCGATATGAAAGCTCCTGGATTAAAGCGATGTATTTCGCCTAAAGTTAATTCCAACAAGTGGTATCAGAGCATCTTCATATTGAATTTTGGGGAATCATTTTATTTTGATTCGTATGGATTCAGTTATCCGTGATTGTTTTGGGATATGTATATTTCGAATTTGTGGACTGTGCAGTATATATGAATTCGAATTTATTTGCTTTTAGCGTTCGGAA